CGGCCAGTACACCTCTTTTTTTCCTTACCTCAACTCCATTTGGAAATTTGGAAATTTGGGAATAAATCCGGGACCGTTCCCGGATTCAACTTTGTATCCCATAAATGTATTTTTTATATTTTCTTTTTTAATGTAGTTTTTGGATTTTGGCAATGTACTTGGGATTATTGCTCCGCAATAATCCTTGTACCGTTGACACTCTCCGGGGTTGGAAAAAAGAAAAAGTTCTACCTAGGAATTTTTCTTTTCTATTCGAAACTTGCGTAGCACTTGAGATGCGTTTGCTATCTTACTCTCTGGTAACCACTCATCGAAGTCAGAAGTCTTATCTTTATACCTGACGAGGTAAAGCCTAACTTCCTTATTAGATACTTTCATTCTCTTGTGATCCAGTACTTTAGACACAATTTTCGGCCCACTATTGTCAAAAGGAATTAGTTCTTCCGTAGGTTGTCTATTTGGGAATTTATCTTTATTGTTAGATTTAAAATGTTTAAGTAACGAGACTGGGAAAGTTGGGTGTTTACGGGCGAATTCTCCTGTGAGCATCACTTCTACTGCGTTAGGTCCGTGTAATTTTACGACCGAGAATGGTCCCACAAAGGAGTCCTTAAGCTTTTTGGGACCTTGAATGTTGTTAAAATTAATAGTTGAGATTAGCACTTTATCTCCAACTATGAATTTGGGCTCTTTATGGGTTTTATCCCACCTGTCTTTGCTATATTTAGCTGCTTCGTCAATACAGTTTCTAGCGTAGTGTCTCGCCTTTGACAGCATTTCGTGGAAGCTCAAGGATGTTGGGTGGACTTGGATGTTTTTATCATTAATCATGTTTTTTGGCATCCGAGGATTATACCCTCTTTCGATTTCAAACGGAGTCTTACCCGTTGTGCTGTGCACGCTCGTATTATATGCTAGTTCTAACGATGGTAGCAGCGTTTTCCAATCGTGTGTTATACCTTCTTTATCTTTAAAGGAGATGCCGAATGCACAGTAGCAACGGAGCATGTCCTCTAAACTCTGTATCATCCTCTCGGCCAGTCCATCTGTTTGAGGATGGTAGGATGTGGACATTGCTAAGGTGGTGCCTATTAGCTTGGTCAAACCTCTCCAAAATCCTGAGGTGAACTTAGGATCTCGATCGCTTATGATTATCCTAGGAAGTCCACAGTCCGTAACTATATGTTGTAGGAATAGGAATGCCGTTCCTACCGCATCAATTTCTTTATGACAAGGGATAAATTTTGTTCTCCTTGAAAACCGGTCCACTACTACTAGTACGCTGTTTACATTATCTATACCGGCTGGAGGTAACGCAGTTACAAAATCCATGTTGATAACCTCCCAGGGAAATTTCGGTTCTTCGATTCTTTGAAGCAACCCGAACCTTTTCCCTGTTTGTCGGTTTGCCTTTTGGCATCTTTCACATGATTCGACATATTGTTGCACGTCCTGTCTCCACGACGGCCACCATGCTGTGGTGATCATTCTTTCGATAACTCTGTCTTCCGACAAGTGCCCGGACATAAAATCATCATGACATACTGCTATGAGTTTTTCAATATCTTTCGGATCACAGACTACTAGCACGTTCGTGTGTTTTTCTTTATGGTAGAGTAAACCTGATATCAAAGAAAATTTTCCTTCCTTAAACGGTTCTTTCCAACCTTTTTCTAGAGTGCTTATCAGTGAAGGTTGTGATTCGTCAGAAGTAAGTATTTTTACTAGTGTAAGGGTGTTACCATTGCTTTCGTAGCTTGCTTTGATATTGGCAAAGAATTTGTCTGATAGATCGCAAACATTAATACCCATAACTGGTATATCGCGATCTTCATCATCTCCTTCCCATGCTGGATTGTTCGCGTCATTGGGCATAGCCATACGGCTCAAGGCGTCAGCATTGCTATGCAATATTCCAGGTCTGTGGGTAATTGTCATATATGACTTGTATTCCTGTATGGCCATTTGCCATCTAAGCATATGTCTGGTAGGTGTCTTCGTGTTTAACAATGACTTGATGGCCTGGAAGTCGGTTATGACCTCAAAATAAATGCCATCCAAGTAGTAATGGAGTTTATTAAGAGCCCACACAAGAGCCAAACATTCCAACTGTGGCGCCCCGTATCTTTTTTCGCTCTCTTTGAGCTGTCTTGATATAAAACATATTGGTCCGTTTACTAACTTTCCTCCTACTACCTGCTTCTGATGTAGAGCTGCACCTAGCCCTACAAAGCTGGCATCTACATATAGGATGAAAGGTTTTTCAAAATTCGGTTGTAGTAAACATGGCGCCGACGTGAGTAATTTTTTAACATTGTTCCAGGCCAGAGCTCTTTCCTCTGTAATAGTAAATTCGACTCCCTTCTTAAGGAGATAATACAATGGGAATGTAATTTTAGCGTAGTTCTCCAGATACATTCTGTAGTAGCTAGAAAACCCTAAGAAGCTCTGTATATCTTTCACTGTTTTTGGTAGCGGTCGATGTATCACTGCCGCTACTTTGTTTTGATCAATAGCTAGAGTCAAGCCTGAAACTATGTGCCCTAGTGCTCTAACTTCGTGAAACCCAAATTTGCACTTATCGAGGGAGACTGTGGCTCCTAATAATTCTAGCTTTGTCAGGATAGAATTCAAAGTTGCACAATGTTCCTCCCACAACTCGTGAAATATTATGATATCATCAATGTAGACTATTACGTGACCGTCACGTAGCTCGTCGTGGAATTCTGTATCCATCATTTTTTGAAAAAATGCTGGCGCATTTTTTTATCCCAAATGGCATTCTCTGGTACTCGAAAATTCCCAGGTGCAGGATAATTCTTAAGAATTTTTTACTTTCCTCAGATACCATGTTCTGATGAAACCCTTTCATAAGATCCATGGTAGTGATGTATACTGATCTGCCTAAATTTGTGATTACTTGTTCAATTCTGGGCATAGGATATCTGTCCGGCTCTGTGTATACGTTCAGAGCTCGAAAGTCACCGCAAACTCGTGACTTGCCTCCATGCCATGCTACTACACAGGGTGTGGTAATTTCCACATCCTTGTTTTGTCGGACTTTTCGCAGAATGCCCAACTTCACGAGTTCCTGAATGTGTACCTCTAGCTCTGCTCTGTTTCTGGAGCTCGCTGGGTACGCTGCTTTACGTAGTATAGGTGGGTATGGCTTGTCCACTGTAAGTTTGATTTCTACCTTATACTTAGAGATTTTTCCTATTTTATCTTCACCTAGTCCAAAAGTTTTATAGAACTTCGCTACTAGCTTATGGAGTTGCTCTGTCTGATTTGTTGACAGCTTCTCTCCTGAGATAATCCGGTTCTTTACTTCTTGTCCTAAAGAGAACAAGTCATTCTTCGGAGTTTGCACAATTGATAGAATTTGTTTGTCATGAATGAGTGCGAATTTTTTACGTTTGTTATCATTTCCAATGGTAAAATATTTTTCCCTAGTGTGAATGATGTCGATTCCGTATAAAGAAAGGAAATCATCTCCCAGAATAAAATATTTCGGTGTGGCGTTCTCCATCACCACAAATTCTGGTTTTATCCTAACCGATCCTTCTGTGTGAGGAAAAATCAGTGGCACCTCGACTACGCCAATTGCTCTAAGTGTTTCCCCGCACCCTTTAAATGTGGTGTTGCTTTTTGGTAACATCTTATCTTTCCAGTTTGGCATTATCGTAGAGATAAATCTTTCTCCTACAGCTGAGCAAGATGCTCCGCTATCTAGCAAGCAGCGGACCTCTTGTCCTGCTACTATCACCGTAGTAAGGCTGTGTTGTCCCATCAGATGCGCCTTCCCTGCTTCTGGCCTGGATTTCATCTGACGGACATCACTCACTTGGTTGTTTCTCAGACCGTTATGCCAGTGCTGTGGGACTCCAGCCTCGGCCTGTAAATTCGCTATATCTGATTCTTTGTTATGTGATTCAATGGCACGCACTTTTATTTCATCAATAGCTCGTCCTATTACATTAGTTTCGTGAATTGGCAGAAATATAGAGTTCGTTCCCTGGATGCGGAGCTCAATATTATCGTTGTATGAAATACTCATACCGTATAGATTCATCATGTCGGCTCCTAGGATGACTTCTACGTGTCTTGCGTTTTCAATGATGAAAAAATCTATCATCAGGATACAAGGGTCTGTTTCGTGCAGGAAATGGATAGGTAAGGTGATCTCCCCTATTGCTTCCATTTTTCCTGACGCGCTGAAGTACTTTCGGTTGTGCTTTGGGCGTTTCGCGTCTTTTTCCCAATGCAACCAGATTTTGTCGAGAATTCGTGGTGTGATCAAAGAATTACAGGCTCCTGTGTCGATAAGCATGCTCATTTTCCAACTGTTACACATAGTAGTCAAAAAAGGACTCCCAAGTTTGGGCACTATGTTTCTTCTATCCACAAACACTGGTCGTCTTTTATCAGTTATTTCTAAACAAGAGATGTCCATTACCTCGAACACTTCCTCAAGGTTTGAGATATCTGCTGTGTGTGAGGATTCTTCTTGTACTGCTCGGTATTCACCGTCGTCGTACATAGAATCTTCGTCATCATGAAAATTTATCTCTAAATCTTCTACTGCCGGCGTTTCTTCATCTGATGGCTCCTGATCAATCATGTTAACTCCTTTGCTCTTACGTCGGCAAGCTCTGAAGTCATGACCAGATTCGGTGCTACCACATGTGTCGCACTTGCCCGGTACTCGTACTACTGCAGGTTTTGCTATCGCTGGCTTATTAGCGCTGCTACTGCCGCTAGTAGCCTGAGTTTTCCAGTCTTGGTTTCCTCTCATTTGTGGTTTCTCTCGGCCGATGGTAGTTCTCTTAACCACTTGTTCAAAGACCTTCGTGAAGCTCACAAAATCGTTTTGTTCCCCTAGTCTACTACGGACTGCATGGTCTAGGTTGCCTGGACATTGGTCAAGCACTTTATCTATTACCTCGTCCTTCGAAGCGCCGGGTTGGGCTGCTTGTAATCTTTTGCGTTGTTTCACCAGCCATGACATCGAGTCCGTATGGATTCTTGAATTAAAATAATCTTTGTCAAACGCTGCTTGCATGCTACATCTCCATTCTCTCGTGCCAAATTGGGCACAAATGGCTACTTTCCACTCATCCCAAGTAAGTACTTTCTCTTTTCTTTTCTCCAGAAACCATAGTTCTGCGATCCCTGTAAAAGCCAATCCCATCCTTGATGTAATCAAAGGATCTGGGACGTGCATAGTTTCTTTGATATTATCGACCCATTCTATGAAGGTAATGTGATCGTACTCGCCTGTTCCGCTGAACTTTGGCCAGTCTCTTACTTGGGGGACTTCTTTTTTAAGAAGATCATACATCCTCAGGCTATTATCTGGAGGTTCTTCACTTTTAATCGTGGGTTCTTTGTTTTTACCCTTGTTTATTTGCTCACTAGATTCTCGATGGTTGATCCAACTTTCTTCCTCTTCAATATCAGCTCGTTGTTGGTTTAGTTGATCCTTTTGTTTAAAAGGAGATTTTCTTTTGTATACTTCTCTCGGAATCACTTCCCTCATATGCGGTGGAGTGTCGTGCTCACGAACCTCGGGTGCTTTGTTTATCTCGTGACCCTTGTTATCGTGCTGCCTTCGCTTTTCTAATGTAAGGTTTGACAAGAGCTTAATCACTTCTTCGTTGTGCAATCTCGTCAAAGCCGTTTCCTCTTCTTGAACTTTGGCTGAGTTTTGTAATTGCTTGATCATAGCGTGCATGTTAGCTAACTGATTGTGCGTTTTCTTAATATATTGATCTGACTGTGCTGTAGAAACATTGAGTTCTCGATTGGTATCATCTACCGGTCTCACATTTTTATTTAGAACCTGAACTATTTTATTAGTCTCCATAGTATGCTCATTTAAATGCTTTGCATGCTCGTCAATCATTTTATGACGAGTTTCAGCTAGGTCTAACCCAATATCCTCCCGTATTTTATTAGTCCAATCACGTAGCTCGTCCTTCATTGTTTTGTCAGTCTCAGCTACTTTTTGAACCGCTGCTCCTATCTGATTCAAAACTTTTACTTGGTCATTGATATGTCTTACCAAATCCATTATTGCTCGCTGAACTGAATCTATTCGTCTCGAAGGGTCACAAGTTTTAACGAGCGACTCAATAGTTTGTATTTCATTCAACAACTTATCATTACTGGTTACAAGGGGGTCTAGATAAAGTTTCAAATGGTGGAACATAGGATTTATCAGTTCACGATCTAAGGGTAATACTGTGAGGTCTAATTCCTCGCTGCTATCCCGGCCTCTCGGAGCAATTGAAGTGTCAATTCCCCTTGTGTCATGGTCGGGAGTGGTGGATATCGCCCGCCTCTGTTCTGATTTCGAAGCAATTGCGGACCGGATACTTGGGGTCTGCCCTTCTTCCTGATTTCGAACGTGTTCCAGTCCCAGAGAGCTGGATTCCAGTTGTTCGTCCTGTTCATCAGTGATTTGTAACCTATCTTCTTGGAAAGTTCCCGGTGGGACGCTTTTCCTTTGATGGTTGCCTTTTTGAAAGCTTGTCGGTCCTGTTGGTTCTTCGCTGCTTCCCATGCCTTGTAATGGACGTTGTGTTGTAGAAGCAGATCGGTCTCCTCCACTGAGAGGTTCCTCATAAAGTCTTTTGCTGGCGGTTGTTGAGGCGCTCTGTTTCCTGCTGCTGCTGGTGGGTTGTTCGCTGCGTCGATGCTCATGGCCGACATCCGTTGTTGGTCCTGCAATACTGGATGCTCGTGAGGAGTTGCTTCTGGTGTTAGGTGCCATCAATATTAGTTATAATCTTCCGTTCGAATTCGGAAGTAAGTTGATTGCGTGAACTTACTGCTCTTGTACTGATGCTGGTTAATGGTACTTGTGTTACCAAAGGAGTTCTGAAAACTTATTTCGTCAGTCTCGATTTGATTGTTTCTTGGCTCGCGGTTCGCTACCACAGGTACAACGTGTCTCGATATCGGATTTGCCGTGGATATTTTCAAAGGTTGTGGTTTAAATCTCCCTGATTTAATTGACGAAGCCGGAGCGGACGATGGCGCTGGTGTTGGACTATTCAACAAGCTGCCTGTGCCTGGCAAGTGGTTCACTAGTAATCGGACAAAAAATCGGAAGGGATGGTTCCTTTGTTATTTATTGCACACTTTTTCTCGATATGATTGTAAAAATAATTTTGATTATCTGCTTACTATCGTTTTCGTCGTAATCTATGAGATCGTCTGGATTATAAGGAGCTACTTGCTGTACTTGATCGATATTCACTAAAGAAGTAGCCGACCCTCAGTATGCCCCTTTATTTTTTGTAAAGGAAATTTCGACTGACTGTTAAAAACATTGGTAGTTATCGTGCTTTCTAGAGAAAGATGAAGTCTTCCGTGAATACTCGTGTTGAGGAAGTTTCCGCGTTGTTAGACAATCTCAAGAATGTGTGTCCCGGCTCAAGCGAATGCGCTCCAAACAACGTGCGAGAGCGAGACAAGAACAGGTTATGGGATCCTGTATTCGTAGCTTCGGTTTCTTGTGAGAATTCAAAGTACGGTAGTTCCCGGAGTAGGTCAAGGGAAATGGTATCGATGACTGAGAAGGAAATGTTGAACTAGTTTTTGAAAAGGATATGACAATATCTTTTCAGTATTGGTTCGTGCTGTTTATTCAGAAGATGATTTGGACAAACTTTGAAAGAAAGAGGAATCGGGCTGGTGTGTTTCTTTTTTTTTTTAAAAAAAAAAAAAAAAGACTTAGTAAGATGAGGCCCCCAAATGTCAGCCTTAATCTCCAAATAGTTGATAACTTGGAAGATCAGGTTGAAATTTTAATGCTCACAAAAGTTAAATCCGCGAGATATAGATGATATTCTTCTACAAATCTTGAAGGTAGCTTTAAATTCTTGGTGAGCAAAGTTAAGAAAACAGAAGTAGAGATTGTTAGTACTACTGTCTAAGGTGCAGAATGGTTACTGCTGCCAGTTAGATGTTCTGTGCACTCACAGAACAAATCTTCTAAGATTGACTAAAAAGTTAGGTGTATCTTAGGCTTGCTTCAGCAGAGGTTCGATATTTAATTTTATCGAAAAAGGATGGTTAAGTCAAATGGTTGAGTACGTTAGTCAATTGGAACTACCCAAATGATCTATAACGTAACTCGTAAGGAAAAAACGGGGATCTTATCTAAAGTGTCTTGAATCGAACTGGAGAGATAGTTTTATAAGAAGTCTAGTTGAATAAGATGTTCTAAATAAGTAACTATTTCTGGCTTTGATCAAGACTAAGTAGATGAGAAAGGTGTTTGGTTTTAAACGTTCCTGCTAGAGTAAAGTTTAAAAGAAAAGAAATGTTATGTTGGTATGATAATTGTAAAAAAGGATGGTTCCTTTCTGTTATGCGTAAGCTCGTTTTCTTTATAGGTTTTGATTTCCTCTGTTTTTAGTAACTAACCGTAAAAACGTTGATTTTAATTGTACCCTGGCTAGCCATCGTATCGTACATGGTTGATACTCTTTTGGTCTGGTCAGGGTTTCTTTCTTCAGGGTCTAGTTATCCCTGGTTGTGGTCTTGGTTTCTATTGTTATAGAAATAAAATATTAATTTCAACTGATTTGGTATTTTTCGGATGGCACTCTTGAAACTGAGTGTAGAGATGTATTTTTATAAAATGTATTTTTTATATTTTCTTTTTTAATGTAGTTTTTGGATTTTGGCAATGTACTTGGGATTATTGCTCCGCAATAATCCTCGTACCGTTGACAACATAGCTCTGGGATGTGACATAGCCTTATCACACACCTGAATTACATCATGCACATGCTCAACAATAGGTCTGTCAGCTTGACAGATCAAATACTTTCCCTTCTTAAATTTTAGTGGCTTCTTGTAACAAATTTGCTGCCGTGACCTAACCATCTACAACTCAGCATAAGCAAAGACTCCAGAAGAGGCCAATCCCCTCTGCTACTTGTCTTTAGTGTGGTGACTACCTCTATCATTCCAAGCTTGTCCTTGGAAACCTAAACTTTGTCTGCACATTTCACTCAATATCTGAAACCAGCATGAAACAGTACCAAACCTGGTTTGTGGTTTCAATATACGTATGTGCTGAAAGATTCACATTGTTTGCAATTTAATGGCACATAGCTAGAGAGATCTGAGCATACTTCTCCATTGAAAGTTGCTTGTGGCATAATTGCGGTTATAATGAGTCACAGTTTGTCCAGAGTTGTCAAACATGATATATGATTTCAATATATTGATGTATTGAAAGACTTGGATTGATTGTGAGTTAGTATCACGTAGATGGAGAGCTTTGAGCAGACTTCTCCAGTGAAAGTGGCATGATGCACTAATGTAACTGAGTCCAACTCTACTTTTTTGTGGTGCAAGCTTGAAAGATGCATAAGATTGGTTAGAATCAGCCACAGCTCTTCCAGGATTGCATGTACCCAACTGCCCTAGCTGTGTGTTGGATAATCAAGCTTAGCCTCTGATCTCATGCCCCCAGTCTGGCTCTGCCAGACTCCACGGCCCGCTGTATGGTAACTGATGTGGCTGCACCACATCAGGCCACACTGGCTTGGTCATCAATTCTGTTCCTTGGTCTCTACTCTCTTGGCCTGCCTCTTCCAGACCAGGGTTTGGGGTGGGAAATCATGAATCTTGTCTTTGTTGGAGACCCCAAGCATCTCATGTAGGTGTACAATTAACTTTGATGAGATTTGCAGTTCAATACTGTATGACTTTCACAACTTCATGTTTTATATGCATCCTAGATCAATGAATTTGACAGGAACATCATAATAAAGCTTGACATTCATCAGATCATTGAGGAATTGTCCCCCCTGCAAGGTATATGTGATGTCTGATGTATCTAAAGACATATCCAAATTTGAGCTTGCCATTCTATTGGATCTCGTCCACTCATCATCCTCCACTTATGCAGAAGGTCAAATGTATGCAATGTACACCAGAATCCTGCAAATGGTTTTCCTCCTCTGTAGATGATGTAGTTTGTACCTATAATCAAGTTTCAGTCTTCTGTTATGTGATTGTAGATGTTGGCTCAGTTGAACATTGGAAGGCTAGAGTTCATCTTCCAGGATAATCTACTTTGTTCCGATACGGTGTGGTGATTGATTTATGGTATCAATCAAGAACATCAATCATTGGTTGTTTACCAAGTCATTATGAAATTTCAGCATGAAAGAAAAATTTGAAATTGAAGAGTCTGATCAATTGAAGCTCCTCTAGGCTTATGCATTGCTCCGTATGTCATGATTAGGTCATCTTATTTCAAACAACTTGTTAATATCAGTAAACACTATTAACAAATTTATTACAAAAAGAACAAAATAAAAAACAGAGAAATAAAAATATAGGTATACAGGCTTGGAAATGGTTTTTAGGGTATTGATATTAGGTTGATGGGTTCTATGAGGTTAGAATGTGAAAGAACAACATTATATTATACAGTAACAGTTTTAATCTTGATGGTTGATAAGGAGACATAGAGGTTATTAAGGAAGAGGTACACTGTGAACATCATTCAACTTCCCAACATTGGAAGAGGAAAATGATCAATAGTACAGTTTGTCATAAAAAGATCCAATACCGCTCACCTGAGCCTCAACACCCACACTACATATGTGCAGTACGCTAAGTAAATAGTTTTCTATCATGTACATACAGGTCTGCTCAGTTTTTTGCCCATCAGAATATATAAATTACATGTTATACCACATGTAACTTTTTTGACTTGAAAAAAATTGTCCCAAGAATTCACTACATATAATTCTGTAGCTGCTCAGGCAATATTTTTGAAGCTATTTCTTAGTAACAGAAAGGGTATTACATGCAGTTGAGTTGATGAGATTACACCAAAATGTTGAGTCAGTGTATGTAGTCTATCTTTTGAATGCTTTTGTCAATCTGAAAAAAGTTACAGCATGTATTACATATGAATAACTCATCCTGCTGAGCAGATAACTGAGCAGAACTGTATGTACATGATGTTAGGACCCAGTCTTGGGGGTTCACGGCTTGGGGCAAAGGGAGAGTGCTGGTGATCGTGCGTATGATATGGATTGTAGCATGAGGAAAGAGGGAAACAGTGTACAAGTGCGCACGTGTCTATAGTGAGCCGGCTCAGCGCCCAAGTGTCACGAGTTGTGACATCCCCTCTCTTGATCCGTGACTTGGGATCATAACACCATCCCCCCTTTTAGGCCCGGGCTCCCTGTTCGCGGCCCTGCCTCCTCCCCGGGGCGGTATTAAAAAACCCCGTAGGGAAAAAACCTTACCCCTCATTACACCCGTCTTGTCCTTCGGTGGTCTTCTGACGCCCTCGGAAACCTTAAATTGAACTGGTCGATCAATTCTGCTGCATTCGTCAGGTTAGTACTTGGCTCCCAAGAATCCTCGTTTCTCCCAAACCCCTTCCAACTGATAAGGTACTCATCTTTTCCTCTTCTCTTCTGTTTGTCTAGGACGTCCTCTACCTCCCACTCCTCTTCTCCTTCAATCTCGATTGGGTCTGGCGGATCCTGTACTCGACCTTCAATGGAATCTGGTGTGTGCTTTCTTAATACCGACACGTGAAATACCGGGTGTACACGTCCCATTGTAGCCGGTAATGCTAATTGGTAAGCTGACCTTGATACTTTCTTGACTATCCTAAACGGTCCTAGCCAGCGGTGGTCAAGCTTGGCGCTAGGTCGTGTGGTTGAAATGTGTCTACTGCTTAGCCACACCTCATTTCCAACCTCCCACTCTGGCGTCGGTCGT